ACAGGCTAGGAGAAATATTTTATTCCATTTTTGAAGGAAAGATCCCTGTGGATGAAGAATTTTCTTCCAAGAACCAGATCGGAGAATGGAAACAATGTGGAGATTTGCAGAGAGGGGAAGAATCGAGAGAGAAGGAGTTAAGGTTAAATTTGTAATTACACTTTTAAAAATTTTGGTTATCTTTGGTTATGTGGAGTGTGCACACCCGGGTGTTGAATCCGGGTGTGCACCAATCGCGGTCCTAAATTATTATCTTTTGTAATTTGTTACTGAATTAATAAATAACAAAAATTTATGAAACATTTTTATTTATTCTCTCTCTATATAATAAATTATTTGCTATTATGCTGGCTTTTCCTTAGCATCTCCTCCTTACCTCCTCTTTCTCTATATGTTCACATATTATATTTTTTTAATAGATAATAATTAGTGCACCTTTTAATTCAATATATTTCACAATATATTTATTAAAAAAATATTTTTTAAAATTTAAATTTAAGATGAGAAGATTTTACTTACAAAATTTAATAACTAAACCGATTGATATTATTAGTACGTTTAACCAAAAGATATACCAATCATTACTCTTTCTCAATTTCTTACATTAAAATTGTATCTCTCTACATATTAATATTAATATTTAAGATGTTATTAGTAATTTTCTTTATATTAATATTAATAAAAAAATTTATTATTAATTTATCTCTCTTATCTTTCCTTTTATATTATTCTTTTTTAGTTATTCATTTCATCTTATTAATTTATTTTTGAAATTCTATCTCTATCTCTCAGTTTCCCCTTAACACTTTATATCATTATATGTATATCTATGTCTTGCCTATTATTTTTTCTTCCATTATACTACCATTTTTATTATTATTTTTTAGACATTTCTTATATCTCTATTTAGCAATATTATCTTTGTACAACGTACCCTTTGTAGTCCTTCAAACATTGTGTTTAACTGTCACTATCAAAATCCTCCTTTTAGTTCTATTTTTTGGGTTTTTTTTTCCTCCTTTTTTCGATAGGAAAAATTTAGCATTAATAGCTTAATGAAAGTTTAACAGTGTTTCAATGCAAAATTTACTAAAGTTCTTATAGTTCTTGATAGGTTGAATTTTTAAATATATAATACAATACAAATTAACCTTGATTTTATCAATAATTTGAATGGGGTTAATATGATTTTTTTTTACTTGATTTTATATTATTTCCATTATATGTGCAGGATAGTACTTTTAAAAATCACAAATTTAGCACTAAATCACGATTTTTCATGAAATAAAATGTGGGTGAGATTGAGTATCAAATTGTAAAATTTTGAAACCTAAGAACTAAAGTGAAAAAATCCTGAATGTTGAGGACCAACTTTGTAATTTTAGCATTAAGAAAAGAGAGATGGCAATTAGTGGTGATCGGCCCCTCTCCTCTCTTCATCTTAATTATTTTCTTTTGTTTGTCTATTTTTGTAATAGGAAATAGATTGTATCCCTAGTACCATAAAATTGGAAAGTATATTAAAGAAAGTTCAAGTCATATTAAATAATAAGAAAGTGTAAATAAATTAATATGACATCAAATCTTATTAAGAATGAATTGTGTAGTATTTAATACAAATTAGATTTGAATTACTATTTGTTAAAAAAATTTAAAAAAACAAATTGAGAATTTATTGAGAAATTTTTTAAATTTATTGGGCATTTATTGAGGATTTTTCAAAGTTCAATGAGTATCAACTGATGATTTTTTTAGAACTCAATAGGTATTTATTTGTAAATTTTTTAAAAAATTTTGTATTACAATAATTTTATATATAGTTAAAATATAAATATACATCAATCATTTAGTGTTGTCCGTATGAAACAAGACGGAATTATCGTTCAGTCCTTTTCTATTTATTAGTCAGCTGGTGGCACAAGGGCACAAGTGCCGTTCGGTATTCTGCCAGAGGTGATATGCGTGTCCCACTCTGCTTTGTATGTCCTTGCTCAGCAATAACTCTTTGATAATGAGGTTATATATATGTGTCCCATTCTTTTTATTAGTCAATCAGCCACTTGCATCCATCACATCAAGATGATATGGTTACTTACGTAGTTAATTGTAAGAATGCGGTAGACTAGTCCACAATGATATATATTGGCTTGTTCTTAGAAAAGAATAACAATATATAATGTTTTTATTTTTATTTTTTTTTGACAATCAAGGTGTTTTTGTGTTTATTTATATACACTTTGAAATTAATTATTCTTTGATGATTTTATAAATGCACACCCAATATTAACTTTATATATTCAGAGAAATCAATTTTCTTAATTTGAATCTAGGATTTAGATATTTAAACCTAACTTATAATGATACTTACATGTAAATAGAGACAATCCAAAAATTATAGCAATATGTAGTGTTAGTTCGGCTTTCATAATGTTTGGGGTATCTTAGCATTGGTAAATTTTTAAGGGATTACTTAATCAAGAAATCAATCACAGAAGCTTTTGATATAAAATAAGCAGCTTTGGTCAGTCATATAAGCTGTTTAAATTTTAAGTTTTTTTTTTTTTGTTAGTGTTAGAGGAAATTTCAAATTCTTTTTTTATTAGCCAAAAATTAAAAACTTATATTAATAAGGAGTATTCCAACCTGAATAAAGTTCCTTGCAAAGTTCTTTAACCGTATAAACCACAACCAAAACCTCAAAAACACAAAAATTCATAGAATAAAACCAGATGCTATGTCACTGCTATTCTACTGTGCTCTTTAAAGGCCTTTTTATATTGTAACAACAAAAATGTAATACACAGTCTGTCTTGCAATTGTGCAAATTATACATATTCTATAATCATTGATGAGGAATGAGTCCCTCCCTCTATCAATGATTATAAAATTTGCTGTCCACCAAAACTACAATATATCTCTTGCAATATTTTATCGTCCAGCAAACATCTACCGTCCACATCTCCCTTACCAAACAGTCTACAATTTCTCCAGGACCACAGGAGCCAAGCACCGTATGTATTTATTCTCCCACGTGCCACCAAATTCTTATATATTCATGAAAGAGACCCATAGCAGATTTAAAGCCGATACTCCACAAAGTTTTCAGTATACTTGTGTTTGATTTATGAAATTTCTCTTTAAACATAACATAAACACTATTACTTTTTTTTTTTCTCTAAATTAATAATGTATATTAATCTTATTACTAAAACATTTAATTTCAATAAAATAAGAAATGTAATAACTAATTGATAAAATTTTATATTTATCCCTAAATAATTATTATTACTTAAATAAGCTTTGTTATTTTATCGATGTTGTAATTATTTTTTTAAAATTGATGTAAAATAAGAATAAATTCTGATATTCTAAAAAGAAAAGATAAATAACTAAATTTATTCACTTTAAATTTTAGTACACTCAAATTGAACAGAAAGAATAGCAAATTATTATAAATTATTAAGATAAGCCTAGTTAAATAGTTCAAAACTTGAATTTCAATATTCTACTAAAATTGAACAGAAAGAATAGCAAATTATTATAAATTATTAAGATAAGCCTAGTTAAATAGTTCAAAACTTGAATTTCAATATTCTCATGTCATGCTAATGTGACACTACCCACCAAACTCATGGTAATCACGTTACCAAGTTTTGTGGGAATAATAATGCGATTGTAACTTGATTAACCAAAAGAGTCAATTTGAAAAAAAAAAAAAAAAAAAAAAGGGGAAATTCCACATGAACATGATAAGATAACGTTAACTGCTTCGAGACCTGTATTGGTGGATATTAAAAAAAAAA